ACTCAAAGGAGTGTTTGATTGATGGCATCACTTTTATCACTCCGGTGGGAATGCTAACATCGCCAGCTGACCTGTTCCTTTTACCTACAGATTTTGTCTGGTGATTGGCAGGTGTCTGTGGCTGATATAGTTTACATCAACTGTAAGCTTCAACTTTCTTCTCCCTGCAGGTTTCCGGATGCTTATGTTGATACTGAGCTGCCGCGGAACGGCAGCAGTCTTGACTTGCTCTCTTCACCTCCGGTCCCTGGAGGCCACGGTCCAGCCAACCGTTTGTAATTAAAAGAGCATACAGATAAAGCTCTGTCCTTCTTGCCTGATGTAAAATTCCAGAAGACTGAAATAGAATTTCAGGCCAGGTGCCCCAGACCATCAGTCTAAAAAGAAAGCTTAATTTTCATAGAAGAAACCATTAGTATTAACTTAGCGTCCTCACTCATGTTGATTAGTTGTACATTTAAGTGTAAGTAAGACACAAAATTATTCTCTTCTCTTTAAATTTGATCTTCTTTTCTCCACCAATATTTATTCATTTGTTTTTATTTAATTGTATATATGAATTTTAGTTTTATACCTGTATTTGAGTGAACGTAGAACATAGAAAGTGTATTTCTATTCAAAATGCACAAGAATAAAAGCATTCCAATAACCTTCAGCCACCCTGAAGATTTTCCCAAATCAAAAATCGTAAATAAAAAAAGTTAAGGCTAAGTCATAAGCTTATCAATGGAAAAAATTGAAAGAATGTGTACTGAAGTGCTGGAGTTGTAATTTTAGTGAAGGGTCGGCTTTTCAAATGCACATCTGTCTGGGACTAAAAGCTGGTTGCACTGAAAGGGAGAATGGGAGAAACGTGACCTTCACTGAGCTTCTGCGTTTAGGTGGACACCAGTCATTCTCCGCTTCAAAGGACTTCAAAATTGAGGTCTTGGAAAGGTGCAGTCTCTTGTGTGATAGCAAATCGAACAGAAAATTTCACCTGGCAAAAGTTCCAACCTTGTGACGCCAAAGTCTGGCTAAGAGATATAAAAGCACCCTTGGCATTTCTCTGCATACAGAAAACAACACATGACTATCTGTTGTGCTCCTATCTGCCTGGCTTTGTCTATCTCTCATCTGTTTGCTGGAGCTCTCTGGCTGGCGCCTCAGGACAAAGTAGCCCTAAGCATATTTACCACTTCCAAGGAGAGTATGCATTCCCAATACCACACACTCATATTTACCCACACTAATCACTCGATAAGCATCATTAAGGGATGTTTGTTGTGGGGTTATTGATATGACTGCAGGGAAAGACTGCAGCTGTCATGAGAGAAAGAAATTATTCTGCTGCAGCTGGAGATGTTCGTAGAAACCCTTTTCTGAATATCTATAAGTTGAATAATTTTCTGAGGGTGCCTTGAGTCTCTTTCAGCACTGTGTCTGTGAGGGAAATTAAAAAACAAACAAACGTGAAGTTATAGTCCGATGTTATGCAAAAATTTGGAGAAAAAAAACTTATTTGTCAAAGTTGTTTGAAATATTGTATTCATAATATCCTTGAAGTTTTTGGTTTGGGAACTGGAGCAACCCCTCACTGCTTAATTACTTAACACTTCAGTTCCCTCACAGATTTAAAGGCTCAGTTTTGAGATCAACCTAAATGACTAAAGTGCACTTTAACTGAACTCGCACATTCACACTTACTTTGTTAAGAGGACAAGACTAAAAGAGCAGGAGAAACTTTGCAGATCTGTTGATTGATCAAAGTTCTAACCCTCAGACAACCAAGACTTCTAACAAAAAGCATTAAGAATGTAAAATCCGTAATATTTTGTCACTGCTCTTTCTCTATCTAGCCATTGTCACTTGTCTGTCATCTCCAGTTTGAGCCCAGTCTGACACATTTGTATCATTTTAAACATATCAACTATTATAAACGTTCTTCAGTCATTCTTCTTTCAGGCATGTGATTTTAATGATTACTTCACCATCACATCCATCCCACTGTGGATGTCCATAGAGGCTGTGAGACACTTGTTCTGTTGCCACCTTTGACTCTTTTGGAGCCTGCTGGTTGCTCACTATGACCAGAGCAACAGAGTGGAAACACAGCGTTCCTGGCACTGGCAGCGCACACTTGGAGTTCATTCGCCATCGAGAGCAGCACGTCCCCTATTCCATCTGTCACTATGTTCCCATGTCTCTTTGCTTCTATATGAGATGTCATTCCTCAAAAATGTCTAATAGGGAATTAAAAAAAACAAACAAGCATTCTATTGGGTGTGAATGTTATCAGTATTACTTTTACTTCTGTTGCTTATCAGAGATCTTCGTCACCAGCAGACAGAGTTCACAATGTGAAGTTTAATTGTCTGAGTTCTAAACGGAGGCGAAATTAGCATTACAGTTCATTGTGTGTCAGGTGGAGCAACACAATGATAGTGGCTAAAACATAAAACTTTGGTATTTTCCTTTCTGTTGCTGCAGAAGATTAGATTTAAAACCATTTTTTTTCCAAACTTTGGCATAACAAATCAGAATCAATCCACCTAGTAACAAAAAGAAAAACAGCACAACAGACAACATATCACTGTTAGTTAATAGACTATGGGGAGAAAAGTTGGGATAGAAGCATGTTTACTGCTGAGTTGCATCATCTCTGAGCATTTGAAGGCTGTACGTATTAGCTACTGCTGTTACAAAGCGAGATATTTCTCATTCTTGCCTGATGTGCAGCAGGCGTAGAGATTTCAGCAATTCTACAGTTTGGGTTTTCCTTTTTTTTTATGATACACCAAATATTTTCAATGATTAATAAGTCTGGATATTGGGCAAGTCATTTTATCACCTAGACTCCTACAGTGTAGACATGCTATAATATTACAGGCTGAAGGAGGTTTGGCAGAGCCGTCCCTGAAATGGCTGAAATAGCAAGCTTGGCGTCTGCACTGAATTATTATAGGTTCTAACATTTGAACCGTGCACAGGTTAGATGGTCCCTCTCCGTTAGACAAGTCACTATTCATGAATTCCAAAAAATCATATTTGATTCATCGTTCTACAGGAACGTTTCTATTTTGCCTAATTACAGTTCGAAATTGGCTTGTGTTCAGAGATGGGAACATTTGAAGACCTGGTTTGTCTTTTTTTGCATAATCTTGTTTAAAATGCATTTGTAGTGGTGTAGTTAACTGTGATTGCTGGCAGTGGTTTTAGAAAACGGAATAATGTTAGAAATAATGCTTGAACTTTGAATATTTGTGTAAAAACAGGGTTAGAGATTGTGATGAGCACAAGGGCACGGTTTAGTGTATCATATCAGACATTAGACACATCCAATCCATCTTGCTTACATCATCAAAACCAGTTTGTGCAACAGAGAATGAAGGACAATAGAGCAGTTTGGAGTAATGTCACAGACAAGAGCAGACAGGTAGATCACTGCAAATGTCAACTTGCTCTCGTCTGACTGGAGTGGCAACATGATGAAGGCTCAACACCGCCTATCTCTGACATTCTGTCATGCATTTCTAGCATATTTCTTATGCTGCTTCTCCAAAGAGAGAGGCCATTTGATGTGCTTCTAGCGTCCTTCACGACTGGAAAATCTAGCCTTGCTGCAGACCCGCCATAATAGGATAAGGGGAAATCACTTCCAGCTTAGTAAGGAGTGATTGTATCAAACTGACCCCTAACAAGCTGTCAGCTCACATTTGTGAAAGCATGCATCAGCGATGGCCAACACGCAGACGTTTGGACGGGTCAGACAGGTCTTTTCCAAGTAATATCCCCCTGGGTTCCGGAGACTCTTTCTCTCATAAATAATTTCTTAAACAGTTTGACTTCATCTCTTGCTGTTGGATTTCTCTGTTTGAAAAAAGGCTCATGATGTACAGTACGTCCACCAACTCATGCTGCTGGAAAGTTCAGTTCCAGAATCTCCACATAGAGGGAGCCCACGCGTGAACATAAACCAAACCAAATGCTGAATGAGTGAGTGAGAGTGTGTGTGTGTGTGTGTGTGTGTGCGAGTGAGAGAAAAGAAAGAGGCGCGGTGGACGATATCACATCGCAGGGGAATGGCAGTACCACACAAGCCAGCCTCGAGATGATCCATGTGGCAGGTTTAACAAAACACGCGTTTCGTTCCGGATCAACTTTGCGCAAGTCAGTGAGAAGAGGAGGGATCAAGTAGGAAAGCCCAGAAGCTGCGCTACAAGTTGAGGCAGAGGGGGCAAAGGACTTGTATCACTATTTTTAAATGGGAGATTTAGGGGGCGTGGATGGTGGAGAGGCAGCAGCAGCAGCAGCAGAGAGCATGTTGGCTGCAGAGCCAGCGGAGTGATGTGCCGGCAGGAGAAACCGGACTGCGTACCCTCCCAACAGTTGGACACGGCTCTCTGCGGTTGGCGTCAGCCGTCTGTGGCCGAATTGGTCATTTTTGGAGCCAGTTCGACACTATTTGGATTTACATTTTTTTTTTTCTTTTGCTCGTGTCAGTCGACGCATAGAACCAGAGGAGGGAGAGACAGCTGTTTAAAAACCTGCCCTGAGTAAAAAAAAGGGGTGAAATCAGATAAAGCAGCTGTTTGACTGACAGTAGTCCGAGGCATCTGATCGCTTCTGGGAGCGTAATTGCGCACAGAGAGCCGCCGTGGGTCTGGGAGATCTATCTTTCAAGAAACGCGTGGAATTTGAAAGCTGCAGAAATTAAACCCAAGTTTCGTTATGTCCACGTATTGAGAACTGTTCGCAGTAGGAAAGGTATTTCTCCTTTTTGGTCAACTGCTTCTGTATGATTTGATAAGATTGGTTATGGTGACCAAGCCTGATATATTGATATCGTTATACGGATTATTCCCACGTTATTTACACCAGCTCTTTTGCGCTCAAAGCACATGGGGGACACACACTGTCACTGACAAACCGATAATGCGCTGGAAACGCCGAATGGGAAAGTAACATTCACTTCAGTGTCGTCTTTCTTTCAAGTTGCAGCCGATTTGGCAATCTCAAAAATGACAAGCAACGGACCTGTCATCGTCTACGAGTGGCTGAAGACCCTCCAGCTCTCCCAGTATGTCGAGTCTTTCGTGGATAACGGATACGACGACCTGGAAGTTTGCAAACAAATAGGGGATCCAGACCTGGATGCCATCGGCGTTTACATCCCTCACCACAGGCAGAAAATTCACGACGCGGTGAGGAGGCTGAAAGAGGAAGCAAAAGAGACGGCCAGTGGACTTTACTTCACTCTGGAGCCGATGCCACCCGCAGCAGAGATTTATAGCGGTCACATAGTGGAGTTTGAGTCGAAACTAAGAGGGTCCAAGTCCTGGACTGAGCCCAATTGTGACCGAATCGGGCGTAACGGTGGGTACATGGGTGCGCAGAGGAACATGACGCTGGGGAACAGGAGAGAGCTGGTTATTTATCCCAAGCTGAAGCTGAAGATCATGATCAGAGATAAACTCATCAGAGATGGCATCAACTTGGCCAAGCCGCCCTACTCTAACAAGGTAACACTTGTTGTGTCATGTAAAGGCCACTTGGAGCACACCACAGTATACTCAGAGCATAATGGTCAATCACCCCCAAATCATTTCACTAACAAAGTGTCTAAAGCATCTAAAGCTGATATTCCTTTTCACACATGAATGATATACACATGTTTTTTTAAAGGTAGCCTACTCCACTTCCATTGTATATGTATGAACATTTGGTTAGATTTGAGAAAACAATTGTGGTGCTTTCAGAATTAATAAACATTTTGCTCAGTGGATGAATTTAAAACACATCTTGAAAGATGAGTTTTGCCGTTATTCCCACGTATGACATAAATTATGCTTTGTCCTGCTCAGCATAGCTCGGGCTAAAGCATGCTTTGACTTGGTAACAGCTAAGTATTTGGCAAAAAAAGAAGCATCGCATGACATATAAGTGCCCCACGTCCAATAAAAAATCTTGGCTGTAGATTGATGCTAGTGTAATTCCCAAACATTTTCAGGACCACTGCACAAGCGTGAGTCGCTGCTGTCATGGTGAATAATGGGAGCGAGGTGGTGGCAAATCAATAAGCAAAGACAGTGGAGAAAACTCCTAAGGAGCTTCTGCTTCTACTGTCTATGGCTGTCTGTAGGGCAAAATGATTTACGCTGATTATCAATCTACCGACTCCAACTGTCCACCGCCTTGTCTCGGGATTCAAAGTGGGTGGATCAAGTGGGCCCACAGGCCTGCAAACCCCTGCTAGTGTCTGTGATGAATGGGCAATGGACTGTTGACTGCAGGGCCAAGAGATGAAGGGACCCCAGCTGGGTAGGCTGTTGCGGTCCTGTTAGCCAGACTGAGAGGGCCTCTTGTTTGTGGACGGACAGTGACGTTTCCTCAGAAGTCTTTGAATCATATGTCTACCAGCTGAGAGCCCAGCTGAATTAGACTTGTTTAAACACAAGGAGGTTCTTCATCAGTGCATCTGCAAGCCACTGTGGAATCAGGCACAAGGTCTTCTGCATTTGGTTAGTTCATATATAAATATATCTATATATATTTACCCTCTGGGTAATTAAATATTCTAGTACTGTGTTATTCACGGTACTAGTGTTTATTTATTTTCACCAAGGCTTTGATATCATTGGCAATCTTTAGTGCTTGCTTCACAACATCTTTGGAGTTTTTTAAGCTCCTTTTCTTGCTCTATTTTTGCTACTTTGGCTGGCGGTGAATCCCTTAGAGAATCGGGATTTGTGAGGGATTAACTAACAGATCAGAGCTGAAACAAAGCATTGGTTTCAGAGGGTTAAACTCTCTTCCTTTTGAAGGTTGTATTTATTTAGAGCTAGAACTATGGCATTGAGGCTTTTGAGAGGAGTGATCAGGTCAAGGTCTTTCAGCGCTTTTTGCTCTGTCCGTGTGTGAGCGAATGTGTGTAACCCTGTACTTTTGAATTGGCTTCATCCCAGGGCTTTTTCTCCTCTGGAAGACTGAGAGGCTTGTGGGAGATGGAGCAATGGCCATATGATAGAGTTTGAATATCTGAGCTGTTATTGGTCTGTTGATATCTATCGTCTCGTGCCGTTAACAGGAGCTGTCTCCCCTGGCAGAGTCTGACGACACACTCACAGATTTTGGGGTAATAAACGGGACATGCAGTGTCAGTCTCATGATGGTTATTATAACGTATAAACAAGATCCCTGTCCATATTCAATTTACAGTTCCAAAGGCTCTCAGTTGATTTCTGCGCATATTTTTGCTACTGGGTTTGTCACCATTCTTTGTCAGCAAGCAAATACACTACAAATATGAGCACTATGATTCAGAAATTCTCTGCAGTGTGTGCCGAATGTCCTCTAGTGAGACAACCCATTATCAAACAATTCACTGAAAATACTCTGCTGGGTGTAATAAATATCCATGATCCTTATCAAAGCCACAGAGACCCCTTGTCTGAGAGTGTTATTTCTTACGATGTAAACAAACACTTGTGCCGAGGGTTGCGCATTTCATGATATCTCATCAGGGAACAATATAGGAGGAGAAGACTGTTGTTGCTGTAATCCACTGCAGGCAGTGAATTAGAATCTTTTTGGTATTGGTTGAGATATCCTCTTGAATTTACATAACTGGAAACGTTTCCTGTCTGCTGTTACTTCTAATTTAAATGAACAAAGTCTTCTTTGTGTTCGGCTCCAGAGAGAATCAATATACAGTAAACAATATCCATATTTACTGCTCATTTACTGACCTAAATATAATCCCACAACAATATAGCTTTTATTAACCCTAAAGCACCTTCTTCCCTTTTTACTTCTTATGTGTTTTGGTTATTCTTCATTTGCTCAGACATTTTCTTACTCTACAGAAAACTCAAAAGTCGGCAGAACGTATACACTAAAGCAGGCTTTTTGAAGTCACGGCCAGTTTGGAACCCAGTCCAGGTCAAAAAGGCAGCTTATACCATGATGATGATGGAACTTTAAATCACTGAAAAACCTCATCTGGGTTCCACTGTTTCCTCCCCACTGTGTGTGTTAGTCAGGGAAGAGAGACTGTAAATGTGGATGCCAGGTTCTTGTGCTTCCTTTTAGCTTAAACTCCGTGATAAAACGCTCCGCCACTCCACTTTAAACTGTAACAGGATAGTGTACCGCGTCAGTGCTGTCAGGTCAACCTACTAAGGTTACGATTGGTTGTCCAGCTGTTGGGGGGGGGTTCAGTTTTGCCTCTTCAGTTTTTATATGGGAGAGGTGTACTGAATAAAAGCACCTGCCAAATTCATATATTGAAAGTGTAACTGTACATCTAAAATGCTTTCAAAGCAATGGTTTTAGGAAAGGGACCTTGGAATCACTCATGCATGATTTCAACACATTAGGTTGTGGTCAGATAAATGAAAGATTGCACATCTGACAGGGGCTTGTGAATAATTCTGGTGCCGTTCTTTTTTGCCTTTCCAGTCAACTCTGGTAGTTAAATTGTCAAAATCTCATCGTAGAAGTCGATGTTTTGTTGCCAGCTCGTTGAATTAGCTCAACAGCAAACTATGTGAGGATGTTCTCCCATCCCGGCCTCATCCTGATGCTGGACGCAGCAGACACACTCAGTCATAATAGCGCCTCATTGTTGGCGCGGCGTGTTGGGAGGAAGTAGAGGCTAAACAGTGGGAGATTCTCTATTGTTTGTATGGAAGCTGATGGAGCCATATGTCCTTTCACTGCTGGTCTGTTTTGCATTCCCAATTTCCGCCCATTGAAATGGGCTGTGGCGGCAAGTGTCCAGCATTGGGCTGATGGGTGGGTGATAACAATCTGGGTATCATGCAGAGGGACTAAGGGTTGTAAATTGACGGACGCTTTGTTTATTAAGGTCGTAAAGGACTTAGTGAGTGCGAAAGTAGGGTCAAACTGCCACGTATGATGTGGACAGTGAGAGTCCTGCAGCTTAATTGATCTTAAGAATGTAAAAAATGCAGGGCCACAGACTGAGTTGTTGTTACTGTCAGTGTGGGGGGGGGGCAGCAAAAGGAAATACTGCTTTTAAATGGCTGTGTCCTAAGCTTCCTTTATCACAAAGAGGAAGATCATCACCTTACATGAAAAACACTCACCTCACTTCCTGTTTTAGTCCTCTTATATTGATTAATATCCACATTTCCATTTCCCTTCCAAGCTGAAAATGAGGGTTTGGTGTGAGATGACTCAGTGTTGGCTGACTATGGTTTGCTTAAGGCCTTTAATTTAGCTGGACAACTGCCAAATCTTGGAAAGACAAATCATTTAGGCATATTTTCACCACAACTATTGCCATAACTTTTGCATTCACAAGCCAGCTCCCTGCATCAGTGATGTTCAGGCTAAAGAAGAAAAAGAATTCCAGATGAAATCACATTCAAGCATCTTTATCATGTATTATGTATTTATCTAATTCCCTTTGCCTCTGTACGGCAAAGGCCTTCTTATAAACTGTACTCAGAAATACTACTTAAATACTCATTTTCAAGCTTTGTTGAGCTTTTCTTCTAACATACAGCGTCCAGTCTTGTAGGGATAGCATAGCATTAGACAGAGCGCCTCTTAACAGTCAGAGGTTTCCATTTGCTCTCATGAAAGAACTGTTTGCTTAGTTTTTATTAAAGGCTCCTAAAAGGAATAATCAACTGAGGCCCCATAAAGAGGAAGTCATAAAGCAGTCAAGGACCAGCTCCATTGTCCCGAGAGGACAGAGAAAGTCAATTAGCCTAGTAAACAGCTTTCTACATGATGCAAAAACAAGGATGTATTGAACACTAAAAAGAGCATGATCGCATTTCAATCTATTTGAAAAGTCATGTATATTCTTATAACAGCCCTTCTTGGGAAAGATTAAACTATAGTAAGGGACTTCTGATGTATCTTTGTTAAGCATTGGCTGCAAATACCAGTTTTTAACTATTTGGAAAGCAACTGAGGACTGACACTTACCTTTTGGTACAACAGTCTCTAGAAACTAAACTTTGATGCTTCAAAGTAATGCATTCCTGGCAGCCTTACCGTTCTTCAGTGGGTGCCGGATCTTTCGATGTCAAATTCATTTTAGATTTGTGTCTCAGGTGTGCATGATCACTTTACCATTACAGAAAGTTCATAATACATATAACATATATTTGCTCCTGTTTAGCCAAAATCAAAACCTGCAAAAGCACTTTCATCCAGTATAAGTTTCTCCATAAATGTTATCTCTGCAGGATGAAGTTCATTCTTTTTTTTTTTTCATCATGAGTCAGGATATTTCTCTCCCACTCTTGGGAACATGTGCAAATGTGGGAAAGCAGAATCTATGCAACATGTGCAGCTGCACTTCTCGTGTCAGCCGCTTGGATTGAGAGGAGCTTTTTCCTAATGTTCTGTTTATCACATGATCAACTAATGCATTAGCCACTTTGATTCCTTGGCTGTGTGAACGGGGCATGAAAGATGACAAGGCTCAGACTCACAACACAGCAGAAGTGGACTGAATATTCTTTATTCAATAATAGAAATG